ATATATATATATATATATATATATATATATATATATATATATATATGTATACATATATACATATATATATGTATTGCTGGTGCAGGTGAGGAAATAAAAACAAAATGTTTTGTTTGTTTTTTCTTTGTTTCTGTCTCCTTTCTGTTTCTGTTTGTTTTTATGTTTTCTTTCTTCTATTTCTATCACCAATTACTTAGCCGTATTTGGCTTTTTTCTCCTTAGTACCTCTGCCTCTCTCTCCCTATAATATATATATATATATATATATATATATATATATATATATNTATATATATATATATGTTGCCGTTGCTGCTGCTGTTGCTGCTGTTGCGAGCTGCAGCCAGAGCGGCTCAAGTTGCTGCAGGGCCGCCGCCGGCGGGCGCCCAGCCCCGCTCTGACGGAGACGACAAGCAGCAGCAGCAACAGCAGCAGCAGCAGCAACAGCAGCAAGCAAAGCAACAGCAGCAGCAGCAGCAGCAGCAGCAACAGCAGCACGTCCACAGTTGATCGCAGCAGCAGAAGCCCTTCAGCGCCGCATGCAGCAGCTAAACCATCGAAGAGAACACCTGCAAAGTCCCCCCAACCCAAACACGAACAAGAGCAGCAGCAGCAGCAGCAGCAGCAGCCACAGCAGCAGCAGCAGCAGCAGCAACAGCAGCATCGGGTCTCCCCGTCGCCACCGACACGGAGAGGTCGAGGGAAGTGAAAGGCAAATACACACGGGTACGCACTTTCTGTTTCTCTGTCTGTCTCTATCTTTTCTCTCTGTCTTTGTCTTCTGTCTCTTTGTCTCTCTGTCTCTGTCTCTCTATCTTTGTCTTTTTGTCTCTATTGCTGCAGTTGTTGTTTATTTGCTTTTATTTTGTTGTTTATTTGTTTTTTGTTGTTTTGCTGCATTCAGGTGTTTGCTGCTGTCTCCATTGTTCGCGGCTCAGTGCATGTGCGTCTGCTGCTGCTGCTGCTGCTGCAGACAGCAGCAGCAGCAGCAGCAGCAGCAGCAGCAACCGGTAATACAGCAACAATAGCAGCAGCAGCTCGAGAACAACTACGTACACTCATGGCAACAGCAAAAGCAGCAGCAAGAGCAGCAGCAAGAGCAGCAGCAATAGCTGCAGTAAGAGCAGCAGCAACAACGGCAGGGGCAGCGTGAACACCAGCAGCAGTGTCAGCAGCAGCACCAGCGGCAGCAGGTAAACTCCTCCTGCTGCTGCAGCAGCAGCAGCAGGAGTGAAGGGAGCAGCAGCAGCAGCAGAACTAGCAGCAGAAGCAGCAACATGAGCAGCTTTGTCACCAGCAGCAGCAGCAGAAGCAGCGTGAGTAGCAGCAGCAGAATCATCATCATGTGACGCAGCAGCAGCACGCGCAACAACCGCAGCAGCACGAAAAACAGGACTGACATGAGCAGCAGCAGCAGCAGCAGCAACTGCAGCAACAGCAGCAACTGCAGCAGCAGCAGCGACAACAGCAGCAACAGCAGCAGCAACAGAAGTATAAATACTATTTATAAGAGCGATCGAATGCAGAGTTTGTTTACTGCGAGCTGCAGCCAAAGAGGAAATCTGCTGCTGATGGTTTTTTTATCGACAGCAGCACAAAACGGCAGCAACTCTTTATTTACTTCTTGCTGCAGCTGCTGCTGCAGCAGCAAGTCCTTCGTCTGCAGCAGACACAGCAGCTCCAGGTCCCTCTCACTCGACCGTACACTCAGATTAGAGCTACCCAATAAAGTCATCGCTAGCCACACATTCGGACCGCTGCTGCTGCTGCTGCTGCTGCTGCTGTTGCTGCTGCTGCTGCTGCTGCTGCTGCTGATGCTGCTGGCAGGGTTGTTGGTGAGGCTGCTCTGCAGCAACGCATGGGTGCTGTGCAACAGAGGGGGAGATGCACTTGCTGCATCGTTATTGCTGCTGCTGCTGCTGTTGCTGCTGTTGCTGCTGTTGCTGTTGCTGCTGCTGCTGCTGCTGCTGCTGCTGCTGTTTCCAAAAAGCCAAATGCCTTTGGCGTGATACGTCCAGCCAGGCCGCGAGAACTCCAGCAGCAGCAAATTGTCATCTGGTTGTTGCTGCTGCTGCTGCTGTTTCTGCTGCTGCTGCTGCATACAGCGAGCAGGACCCCTAGGGGCTGCATCATCACCTGCAGTAGCACCAGCAGCAGCAGCAGCAGCAGCAGCAGAGGGTGCCTGCAGGGCCACAGCAGCTGCATGCGCAGCAACGCTGTAAGCAGCAGGAATATAATAGGAGAGACCGCGAGAGTTGAAGAAGCTGTTCGACTGAGGAGATGCATTTATCACCAGCATCTGGCATCTGCTGCTGCTGCTGCTGCTGCTGCTGTTGCTGCTGCTGCTGCTGCTGCTGCTGGGAGTGGGTAGAGCAGCAGCAGCAGAGGCTGCGCGCATTTGCTGCAGCAGCTGCTGCAGCCGCTGCAGGAATGCAGCAGGGAAATTGAGATAGGGAGAAGCAACGACAAACTGTAAACCCCCAGGAGCTGCTACGATGTCACCTGTTGCTGCTGCTGCTGCTGCTGCTGCTGCTGCAGTTCCTGCTGCTGCACCTTTACCTGCTGCAGCAGCAGCAGCAGCAGCAGTAATCGAGTTAGCAGCAACTGCATACAGCCGCTCCAGCAGCAACTCCTGGCCTCGAATGGGGGGACACGCGAACCCCGCCTGCACCGACAGAGTCACCAAACACGGCTCCAAGCTGCTGCTGCTGCTGTTGCTGCTGCTGCTGCTGCTGCTGTTGCCGTTGCTGCTTCTGTTGCCGTTGCTGCTGCTGCTGCTGCTGCTGCCCGTGTGATTGTCGTTGCGGCTGCTGGTACTGTTGCTGTTGCTGTTGCTGTTGCTGCTGCTGCTGCTGCTTTTGATAGCTGCAGCAAGCGCTTGAGAGAGACTGCAGCAGAACTGCTGCGGGTTTATTTGTGGTGGCTGCGAGGGGTTCGTCTGCGGCCAGCAGCAAACGGCTCCCCCGAGTCTTACTGTGAACGGCTGCTGCTGCTGCTGCTGCTGCTGCTGCTGCTGCTGCTGTTGCTGTTGCTGCTGCTGCTGCTGCTGCTCTGCTGGTAGAAGCCTGAATGCATGCGCTTCTGCTGCAGCAATGATGCGGTCTGCTGCATCGGCGAGCTGTGGGGATCTGAGCAGCAGACATCTGTCTGTTCTGCTGCTGAAGTAGCTGCTGCTGCAGTTCGCCCCCGTCAGCAGCAGCAGCTCATCGCTGACTATACATTTCATATGCTGCGTACCGAAGGCCTCGCGGCCCCGGTGACCAACAAGCCGCAGCAGCAAACCCCGCAACAAACCCCAGACCCTGCTGCTGCTGCTGCTGCTGCTGCTGCTGCTGCTGCTGCTGATGCTGTTGCAGGTTAAAGGGTTGCAAAAAAGAGATATGCGACAGCTGTTGTTGAAAGATTGCTGTTGCTGCTGCTGTTGCTGCTGCTGCTGCTGCTGCTGCTGCTGCCCAGCAGCTAGGAGCGGCTGCAGCAGAATTGCAGGGCTCTCACCTGCAGGGCCTTCGGGTCTTGTCGTGCGGAGCATATCCAGCAGCAGTCTCACCTCCAGCTGCTGCTGTTGCTGCTGCTGCTGCTGCTGCTGCAGCAGGCGTTGCTGCAGCAGCTGCAGCAAACGCCTTTCTTCTGGCCCCATCCCCACATACAGCGCCGCCAGCAGCAGCCGCCGCCTTGCAGAGGAAATCAACGCCAAGGCAGCAGAGTAGAGAGCCTCAGGGCCCCGCACAACGCTGATGCAGCGAGGAGACACAGAGAAGCTAACCCCTGCTGCTGCTGCTGCTGCTGCTGCTTCGGCTGCTGCTGCTGCTTCGGCTGCTGCTGCTTCTGCTGCTGCTGCTGCTGCTGCAGGAGGTGGGACAATAACCCCCGTGCGCCCAATGGAGGACAAAATGCCGCCGCTGGAGAAGCAACGCGAAGCAGAAAAGAAGCAGCAGCTGCTGCAAGCCGAAGCAGCAGCAGCTGCTGCAGCAGCAGGTGCAGCAGCAGCTGCAGCAGCTGGGTGCAGGGCATAGCAACGGCTAGTACTAGAAGAATGCGCCGCTGCTGGTGCTGCTGTTGCTGTTGCTGTTGCTGCTGCTGCTACGTCTGCTGCAGCAACTGCTGCTGGAGTGCAGCTCCACCTGCGGAGAGGCAGAGCCGCGAGAGCTGCTGCGCTAGCAAAGCCATTTGCTGCTGAGGGCATCAGACTGCTGCGGCTCGTAGCCGCTGCTTCTGCTGCTGTTGCTGCTGCGTTTTGCTGCTGTTGCTGCTGCCCTTTGCTGCTGCTGCTGCTGCTACTGCTGCTGCCGCTGCTGCTATTCGTTCCTGTTGCTGCTAGTACTCACTACCGCTGCTGTTTGTGCTGTTGGTCGTTGCTGCTGCCGCTTCTGTTGGTGGTCTTCGCTGCTGCTGCTGCTGCTGCTGCTGCTGCGGCAGCCGGGATCAGCCCCGGTGAGCCTGCATTGGTTTGTGCGTGGAGAAGGGCACTAGTTGCTTCGTCATTCCGGTTGTTGCTGTTGCTGCTGTTGCTGCTGTTGCTGCTGCAGCATTGCCAGCATGGCCTGCCGTGGAGGTCCAGTGGTGTGCTATTGAGGCGATTTGAATTTCCCGTTGAAATAAGTTAAAACTTGAATTTATTTAGTTTGTTTAACAATAAATTTCTTCATTTTCTTTTTCTCTTCAGCAGCAACAAGCGGGGGGGCCCCCGTGGGGCCCCGGGGCCCCCAGGGGCCCCCACATATGTGTAGGCGAAATCGATGAGCAGCTGTCAGCTGCTTTGCTGCTGCTGCAGCAGCAGAAGTTGCAGCAGTTCAGCAGCAGTAGAGATGGGAGAAGCCAGTTCAGATACAGACACTCGGCAGCGGCAACAGCAGCAGCAACTGCAGCAGCAGCTGCAGCAGGAGCCCATACGACGAGAGACATAAACGGCTAGGCCCGCTGCAGCACGAAGCCAGATTTGTTGCTGCTGCTGATCTTCTCTTCTGCTGCTGATGGAAAAAGCACATCGTTACTAAGAGCTGCTTCCGTTTGCGCAGCACGGCTCGCAGCCGGCGGCAGCAGCAACATTTGCAGCAACAGCGGCAGCAACAGCTGCAGCAGCAGCAGCAGTACTCGTAGCAGAAACAGCAGCAGAAGCAGCGACAAAGGCAGCAGCAGCAGCAGCAGCACAGCAAAATGCAGAGGCCACAGCGAAGGCAGTTCCAGTGATACCGCAGCTGCTGACTGCTGCAGCAGCTATTCGGATAGCTGCAGCAGCAGCAGCAGCAGCAGCAGCAGCAGTGCAGGAGTGGAAGCAATACTGCTGAGTGTGTGTTGCACTAGGTAACAATGTCAAGGCCACAGGATTCGGCGCAGCAGCAGCTGCAGCCAGAGGTGCAGCAGCAGCAGCAGCAGCAGCAGCAGCAGCAGGAGGTTTGCTGCTCGCGGTTTGAGCCCGTGACAGTTTTGGGTAGGGAAGGGGTTATTGTGCTGACTGCTAAGCGGCTGCTTTTCGCTGCGCGCAGCAGCAGCAGCAGCAGCAACAACAACAACAGCAGCAGCAGCAGCAGCAGCAGCAGCGAGGCTGCAGACAGCAGCAGCGGCTGGGAAGTGCTGCTGCAGTTTGCCCTTATATCCTGGACTTCAACAGAGCGCTCAAAGAAGGCAGCAAAGGTGGGAACGCCGCTTGCGGTTGTGCTGCTGCTGCTTCTGCTGCTGTTGCTCCTGCTGCTGCTGCTGCTGCTGCGGCCCATACACAGTGTTGCTGCTGCAGCGAGTGCATGCACATCACCAACGGCCCTGTAGCTGTGTTTTCTATGCAGGCGCGCATGTCGTACGTGGCCCCGACAGCAGCAGCAGGAGCAGCAGCAGGAGCAGCAGCAGGAGCAGCAGCAGCAGCAGCAGCAGAAGGGGGTTTGTCTACGCACTCTGTGGTTGTTGACTTTATGGGGCTGAGAGACAAAATGGATTTATGCTGCCGCTCTCTTCAGTCTCTCGCATCAGCTGCGCGTACACTCCACTACAGCAACAGCATCGTAAGGCCCTAGTTCAGCAGCAGCAGCAGCAGCAGCAGCAGCTGCTGCTGCTGCTGCTGCTGCTGCAGCTGATGCTGCTGTTGCTGCTGCTGCTGCTGCCTCCGTGTCTACCCGTTTGTAACACCAAATTCTGCGAGGGATTGCGTTGGCAGTGCTCTCGTCTCTGTGTCTGCTGCTGCTCTTTTCCTGCTGCTGCTGCATTTGCTGCTGTTGCTGCTGCTGCTGCTGCTGCAGGTGTGTCCGCTCGAGGTGCCGCTGCTGTTGCAGCTGCTGCAGCTGCCTCCCGGCACTCCGCTGCGCGTTGCGCCGGCCCTGGTGCAGCAGCAGGAGCTGATCAAGCAGCAGCTGCAGCAACAGCAGCAAGAGCAGCAGCAGCAGGAGCAGCTGCAGCAGGAGCAGCTACAGCAGGCAAGAAGGGATGCAGCAGCAAACGGGACGGATGCAACAGCGGCTGGAGCTGCTGCTAAGCAGCAGCAGCTCAGGCAGCAGCAGCCAGACGGTGCCGCGCAGCGTGCTGCTCGCCAAAAGGCAGCAGCAGCAACTGAAACACCAGCAGCAGCAGCAGCAGCAGCAGCAGGGAAGCCGAGGTAAGAACTCTTCTGAGGCTGCCGGCACAGACCCCAAACCCTCAACAGCAGCAGCAACAAACCTATGAATCTCGACGCTGTGGTTTAGCTGCTGCTGCATCTGCTGCTACTGTTGCTGCTATTTGCTGCTCAGCAGCAGCAAGAAACCCCCTAAAGTGTGCTGCTGCTGCGATGGCTGCTGTTGCTGCTGCTGTTTGCTGCTGCTGCGCAGCCCCGCTGCAGCTCCTCCTGTGGAGGTTCCCAACCTGGAGAAGCTGCTGCAGCAGCAGCGGCAGCAAGAGGCCGAGCAGCTGCAGCAGTTTCAGCAGCAGCTGCTGCAGCAGGACCCTGAGCTGCTGTCGCTCTATCAAACCCTTGTCGGCCCCCCTGAAGCCCCGCCAGGCAGCAGCAGCAGCAGCAGCAGCAGCAGCAGCAGCAAAGGCCTTTCACCCGCTGAGTTTTGGAAGCTGCATCAGCAGCAGCTGCAGGCACTCAAACCACAACCCACCCGTAAACCCTAAACCCTAAACCCTAAACCCTAAACGGTGACTGCGTTGCTTTGCCGTGGGCTTGCTGAACTGCTGCTGCTGAGGAAGGTGGTGCATCTTCATCTGCTGGATTTGCTGCTGCATCTGTTGTTGCTGCTGCTGTTGCTGCTGCTGCTGCTGCTGCTGCTGCTGCTGCTGCTGCGTGATCAGCTGAGGGTGTGAGCGCGTGCTTCCTGTCTCGGCCTCCTCTCTTTCACCAGCTGTCTAGACAGCAGGGCGCCGCAGCTTTGGGTGAATTGGCGGTCGACTGCAGCCAGCAGATGC